ACTTCTCTGATCAGGCAACATACGAAGTCATAACACTGTCACTGTGTATTTAATGTAATGCATTTGTGCAGCTGTAAAAGCCGACTGACAGCTCAGCGGTGATCAGCTGATGTCCTCATCACAACCGGACGTCTCCGCATTGTTTCCTCGTGTCTCCCTATGCATATCTGGTGGGAGGGAATATGACACAAGTGGGGGATGCAACTTAAGACACATGGGATGTAGCCTGTGTATCAGTGCAGCAGTTCAGTTATCCACTATATATAGTGTTAGTCTCTGGGTGATGAGGTACTTTCATCTGGGAACGCTTCTTATCAAGTTCTCAAATCCAAAATGTGCACAAACACTGTCCCTCTTTGAAGATTAACTCGGCCTCTTTTAGAATCTTTAAATTGATAAAAAAAATCACAGAGGGCAAAAATCTCAATTCCTTAACATTTTAATTAATTTTCTCACTCCCACATGTTGAGGCCTGTTCAGTATGCAAGTCATACTCTCAGGATTTGAATATAAATTATTTTGAGTCTCAGTTTTTTCTTGTAAAAATAATACTAGTTTAGTCCTACCAGATATATAAACAATTACCAGAAGTAATTAGCTGATTCCGATGCTCTGTATATGCCAGCTCTGATTGCCTTTCAGTCAGATGGGGACTATTTTAGTTCCCACTATTCATATTTTTCTGAAAATAAGAAGCTATCAAACATTCACAACAACTCCACAAAGAAGAGATGAACTGTATTCCCCTTTCATCTCTTCATATTTATATTCATTTCACACATATGAACTCACATTGTCTCTTTCAGGACATTCTGGTATTGCACATGTTCCTCCTCTCACAGTAGGAGATTGTCTGTGTCTGACGCACAAGTTGAACTAATCCAATTAGTACAGGTGAGGGAGTGCAGCTGGGTAGCCCATGCAGGAGTATTACTATGACGTACAGTCAGGTCTTTCATGCTATACCAGCACAATAGTAGAAAACAGTGCAGAGGTACCTGAGGTGAGAGTATTAAAAACCTGCCCATTGGCTCACAGAAAATGTCCCAGACTATGACAGTAACTCTTGCATTCAGGGGCGGGGGTTTAGCTCAGTTAGCGCAGGCACCCCATGGACAGAGGCTACAGTCTTTGTTGCACTCACTGCAGGTTCTATTCCAGATTCTGACACTATTTAGGTGATTTCATAACCTACTTTCTCTAGCCACAATTCCTCTATTTCTATAGCTGTCATATTAAATAAAGGCCTAAAAAGCCTCAAAATGAATAGTTGATTTCACCCACTGGCTCACCCCTGACCCTGCACAGACTTTTTTACTACGGGGGGGCTCACAAAATTGGCTGTTCTTGTTAGAATGGGCACATTTCAAGGACCATCCCGGAAGTTTCACCTATTCTATTTTTCTATTTTTCTTACATGCACAATACTGCTGCTCACCCTGAAAATATCAGGACATTGTCAGGGTGAGCAGCATGTGAGCTCACAAACAGCTACATTGTTCACCCAGACTTTCCCTTGACCTCTTCTTGACACCCTTAGTACGGTTTCTAGCAGGTGGAAATAATGAAAATTTTACAAGGGAACGTGACCAACTCAAATATGATGTACACTGTAAAGGAGCTATACTCTTGCCATGCTGCTGGCCAGTCTTTTCTTTTCAGCTCTTTAGTTGATAATGTAGAAATGTCCCAATAACCTGTAGCATTTAGCATTAACTGTCATTATAGCATTGACAGACTTTGCTACACCCACCATCTTGGAAGTTAATGTGGAAATGATGACCGTGGCGTCCTTTTCACACCATGTCCTGTCTCCCCAACCCCCACCCCCACCCCCAGCCAAGAAGGAAAGCTTTTTGCTGAGAGGGACAGGTGTTACTAAAACTTTGGAACATTTCAGGGGCAGCTGTTCTTATATTTTATTTAGAAATTTTCAGGAGTGAGGAGGAGGATGTGAATGCAGCTTGTGTAAGAGCTGCCTCCTGGTTTAACCTGAACTAAAGCACTAATAAGACGGAGTAAATGATAACACCTGTCTGGGATTAATGAGGCTTTCATGTTGTAAGCCCCAAAACCTCCAGGAATAAAGGGAGAAGGTAGAGTGAACCCTTTCCTGGTAGGTTGACACCATTCATTAATTTAGCGTCTCCCATGATAATACCTCACTGTTTCTTCACCACAGCAGGGTAACTATGTGTGTTGGCTTGTGTTCTTCAACATTGCCATCCACAGGGACTGCTGGCACTGTACAGAGCCCATAATACAAGGCACAGCCAGCTGTGTTGGCCAGCAAGATTGTCCTTTCATCACGCTAAACAAGCCTACGCCAGCCTCTCAATTATTAAACGGCTGAAATAAGAAACAGCGTAAAAACCACCTCCCTCCCAACAATCAACAGACCGCTGTTGACAACCTCCAATGGTACTGAAAAGGACAGATTGTTTTTTAGATGATGAGATTTGGATTAAGGTTATGTAGAGGGAGAAAAAAAGAATATTGATGCTGATTTGTTAGAGAATTGTTGTCATGTCAGAAGAGATAATCAGAAGATTGCTTGTGTTTTGCAGCAAATTGCAGACAAGCTGTGCTCTGGTGCCAGATGTATGACTAACATGGCAGGCACAGGGCTGCACATAACCCTCGTCTGAGAAGAGGTCTCGGAGAGTTTTCTGTGCTTGTTTTAAAGGTCCTGAAATAAACCAGCGTGTCATAATGTAAATTTGTTGTATTCATCACATTCATTATATGGAACCTACCTAATGTCTTTTTTTTTTATTATTTTATTTTTTTAATCTTCTTCAAAGTAGCTAACTTAGATGCCACATACTAAATCCTGTTAAGATTGTGGAGTATAGAACTGGGCAACTGGGCAATCAGATTGATATTGGATACATACTGTACAATGAGAGAAGACCATGCTTGGAGTCTCTAAAACAACAAAGCACAAAAAAAATTGCTTGGTTATTCTATGTTACCTCAGGGTTATCAATCTCTTGCAATACTTTGGTCTTGTTCCACAAACAGAAAAAGCCCTAGATTCGCTGCTCAGGGACCTTGTTTTGTGCTACAAAAACCAAAGGTATTACTCTTTAATGTGTTTTTGCTAGGTTTTCGATGACAATAGATTTCAATGGCGGAAACTAAATGATCTCATCTTGAGAAGTGTAGACTTTTATACCCAGCACAAGGACGTGAGTTCCATGTTTATCTGAAGAACTGTTAAGGGAGTTAAGTTGAAATGGATCCTTATTGGCTTTTGATTTAACATTGTTGTCGCCCTTTCACCCACTGGACCCTAGTGTTTGAACTGCTCCATCTAATCAAAGAGAGCACCCACTCAGTGATTGCTTGATTAGCTGCTGGCTGATAAATAATGTGCATAAAGATTGAAAACACAAATGGCAATTGCATGTATGGAAATCTGCCAGTATGAAAAGAGATTGTCATATATTTATTCAGTATGGTAAACTTCCAGAAATCAATTGAATCTTCATATACTGTTCATTACCAATGCCTTCCAATACTGCTCATTATTTACATGTTATCATAATCCACAACAACCTTGCACAGTTTTAGGACTTGGAGCGGTTACTACCTGTACATTTCCCAGCTCAGGGTATGTAGTGGATCATTACAACTCCTTTATTTTCATGTTAATTATACATATAATTTACTCCCTATTAAACACAATATACATCCTAATTAAGCTAAACAATACATTCAGCATTCAAAGTTTTGCACACTTACTTCCTGTTCTTAAGCCAAGCCTATCCAAACTTTGAGAGGATAAAGGGGGTGTGAGACTGGTAAATTCTTCCTATTTCTTTATAGACAAACTGATTTTTTCATTTTTATTTAACTTTCACCCCTGTTTGACCCATTATTGAGGATAACACAGGTGTACACCCATTGTTCTTTCAAAAGAATGCAACTTGAGATTACACAAAGACTACCTCCATTTTTGAGTTTTCCGGCCGGTGATTGTAATTGCCTGGGTTTATAAATATTCTCCTTATCACAGTGGAGGGATCGACATTTAAACCACATCATAAGCTTTGGGATTACCGTAGTGCCTCTCCTCGGTGCAGATTAACATAAATCTCCCCCACACAACAGGGAGAGAGTGCTCTGTTCCAGAGAAACAGCCCATTGAAGGGCAGTTACAGGGCATGTCCATCCAAACCACAAACAGTTTTTGAGATGTCTTAAAGGCCCCATGAAGCAACTCTGCATACTTTTCCATGTGATACCAAAACTATCATGATCAATACCAATGCACTTGATCCGTCCTTGCAGTAAATTTGCACACATTGATTAATGTTGCAACTCTCAAACTGAATAGAGTTATCAGCAATTGGGAAGTTTACCTTTTCCCACCCTCAACCCTCCCAAACACACACAAGCAGACACACACACAGACAAATCTTGCACACACACGCACACGCACACACACACGTTTAAAACGAACACATGCTTAACAAGTTGCTTAAAACATGCATGAGCCATACCATGCAGGAGGTGAGAGGTGTCTACAAAACAGTTAGATGATGTCCAGTTATTCACCGTCCTTTAGAGTACAATACATTAGATTTTTTTTATTAATTAATTTTGTTAACAAAGTCATAATTTTGATTAAAAGTTAACTGAGATAAATCATGTGTGTCAGAACTGTCATTTCATTAAAACTCAGTAAGAACACACTATTCAGTATTGTGTCATTGTTACAAAATGTTCCTCTGATCTTTAGTGGTGTATTTTTTCCCCTCCATCAGAAAAGCTGTTTTCCATTTTCCACTTCAAGGTTTTTAAAGTAAAACCTGAATAATTGGAGACATCTAACATTTGAAGTCAAGCATGTTATGAACCAAGTGTCAAGGGAGCTTAACTGTGATTTAACAGTAGCTTTTTACAGGGCGTATTTGATAAAAGATTTACCTCTCTGCTGGGTCTTTGTGTTTTGATTTTGAGTTTTTATTTTAGGCTGATGCGATGGATCATACCTCACACTCCCTGGAGCCAGAAATTGTGCAAGTGCAGGAACCTGTGCCATTGCCAAGCACCTCCAATGCCTCTGGTGTGGCAGCAGGGTTGTAGCTCATGTAATACTCTTGGAGCTGGGTGCTCAGGTTCTGCTCTGGCTCTGGACTCTTTCTGCGATGCTTCCGTCCCACCATGGATCGCTGCTGCAGCAACCTTGTTGCACCTGGATAGCGCCGCCACATCACATAGACAATTGTCAAGATAAGGGACATGCTGAAGAAGAGTGCAACGCTGCCCACCACCACTTTGTGCAGAGTCATGTGCTCTATCTCTGGGGGTGGTATGTGAGTGGGTCTAGTGCGAGCAACTGAGTCTCTTGGATCTTTGCTCAAATGACCTGGAAAGGTAGGGTGAGGAATAGGTCGAGGTCTGTATGGAGGGAGAGGACCATAGTTGTGGGTTGGTGGTAGTGGTGGAGAACCGCTAGTAGGGGCAAAGGTTGGTTCACCAGTGGCTTCAGAAATGAGCTCTGACATAGGAGATGGGGTTTCAGTCAGAACATAATCAGTTTCCTCACAAACACCATGGTCCCTTGTGGCGTCCATAATTTTTTCTCCCTGCAGAAACTTTGGGCTGCTGCATATCATGGTGGTGTCTTTAGTACCCCGAAAATGCCTCAACCATGCAACTAGAGGGCATATGCCAGTTCCACAATCCCACATGTTTCCAGCAAGGCTGATGGAGGTCAGTGAGATCCATGCTGACACCGCCTCCTGAGACACATTGGACAATTTGTTGGATTCCAGGTTGAGAACTTGAAGATTAGGCAAGCAGTGAAACACAGCTGGATCCAGGGCCTGGATTTCATTCCCGGACAAGTCGAGTTTTTGAAGTGTATACCACGTCCATGGGAGGCCCTGGTTGACCACCTTAATGCGGTTCCACTGCAGGTAGAGTGATCTCAGATTTGCTAACCGTGGAAACAGAAAAAAGTTGATTCGGGAGAACTGGTTGTGTTCCAGATGCAACTCCATCAGCTTCTGTAGTCCCAAAAAAGTAGTGCGGGTAAGAGCTTTGATCCGATTGTAGCCCAAATCTAAAAACTCCAAGCTTCTGCACTCCAAGAACGCTCGAATAGGGATGTTGGAGAGCCCATTTGAACGAAGATGAAGGTTTTGTAGTTTTCGTAAGCCATGGAATTGACCTGGCTGCAGGTTTTCCAATTTATTGTAGGACAAGTCCAGACTGCGGAGATTGGGGATTCCATGAAATGTTGAATTGTGCAGGGTTTTGATCCTGTTGGAGCTCAATATTAGCTCTTTAAGCCTGCGGACTCCCTGGAACGCCCTGCTGTCAACTGTTGAAATCTGATTGTGGTCCAAGTATATCCAAAGAAGCTGGCCAAGGTGAGCAAACTGGTAGGGTAGCAGGGAGTGAAGTTCATTGTAGCGCAGGGAGAGGCCTTGGCAGCCTATTGTGACATTTTCTGGGACATCTAAGAATCCAGCGGAATCACAATGGACAGTTTTCCCTTCACATCGGCAGCTATTTGGGCACGTGCGCTCAACAAAGCTGAACAATAAGGGAGCCCGCAGGAGGAGGAGGAGAGGAAAGAGGAGGTGTGTCAGTCGTCCATCACACAGCAATGGACCTGCAAGGGAATATAAGATAAAGAGAGACAGAGAGAAAGAAGTAAATAATTGATTTCATTCACCAAAGATCAAGTCACATTATTCAGTATCCTTTTAAGAGAAAAGGGATTCACAACCTTTTAAACACATTAAAAATGTTAAAAGTCATTTGAAGATCTTTGTTACAAGAACAGAAAGAGATGATTCATATGAAGAGACACACTGGACGGAATACTGTAGAAAGATCTTAACCCTTTCACTCATAGTTGTCACTACGGTGGACAGCTATGCAAATGCCATTCTCCAACAAATGCATATGGGTTTTGATGGAATGGTTTCACATAAGCTACTTTAGTGGATGTTAGGAAGTCATCCAATACACTTCCAGCCACTGGACTGCCATTGTAAGTGTACCGTCAATGTCTCCAAACCAAGATTGCCAAGAGGGTCAGAAAATCTGTGCAGCTCAGGAAATATCTTGCAAATCTTGCTATTCTATAAAAGACCCTTGCACGTGATAATTATTTTAACATCTAATATAAACTAAGGAGCATTATTGTTGTTAAATTCCCAAGAATTGATTTCAGTTTTGAAGGAAACTATCATTAAACATCTTTCCACTCAATTGGACATCATGCATTGCAATAATGTTATGATTGAGACTTTGCTGTTCTTGAAGACATTTGATGTGGAGTGAAACTTTCTTTAACGATTCACATTATTAAACTGTATCTTGCAGGGTTCTATCTGTGCAGAGCTCAAGTCTGAATTCAATTTCATGCCTTCCAATAATACTGGTTCTCACATTGAATGTCTGCTTTTCTACTGTTCTGGTAGCCTCCAGGCAAAAGCCACAGAGTTAGTTTGATCTTATCAAGCATATTGTTTTCTGTACAAGACAGGAAAATTTTAAAACTCAAAGACCGAAAACCTTCAAAATTCCAATTCAAGTAATCATATTGATTCTCTCCAACTGAGGGTAACTGAAAATGATTTGTAAAAAAAAAAAACACCAATTAGTAAGTATTCTAGCATGATGCCTTCTCTAGTGGACATTTAGCTATGTATTTTGTTCAAAAGTATGTATTTTAAATTAAGAAACAAAAAAATGACCATGTCTTTAGAAGTAACAAATGACATTTTAAAAATGTCTGACATAGGAGATGGGGTTTCAGTCAGAAACCCCCCCCCCCTTCCTTCCACTCTGGTACCAGTACTGGTTATTCTAAAGAAGCTGTAGCAGGAATCACAACACAGACATTGCACACAATTCTTTGAAGCCATCCTTTGATCACTAGTGCTGGTTTCAAATGTTCACCTATTAAAATTCAGAGCTAATTTTGCATTATGTATTTCTTGGAAAACATTAGACAAATCTGCTGAGGTTTCTATACCGAGAGTTACTTCTCCACTGAGAAGAAAAATGATACATCTCCCTTTTCTTAGTAGCAGGACCCAGCCTTGCACTGTTATATAAAGATTTAACAATCCCTCATTTAAACATCTCTGATTATGATAAAAGGAAACGTGGGTTATTGCAGTGTTGAGAAATCCATCAATTGTCCTGCCCCTGGCCTTTGTGCAAGGAAATGTCTTTCCTTCCTCCCCTTAGCGGTTGCTAAATTATATTTAAATACCAGTGAATTAGCATTTTGCTATAAACACTAAGAGCAGTGCATCTGGGACTTGTGCATGGTTAAATGTTACAGCACCAATGTCACTGTATGTCCATGTTAAATAAACAAACAAATAAAATATAAAAATAAATAAACAAATAGGTGCTAATGTCACGCTCTTATATTGTTAAGCCTTGACTATAGGAGAATCCAGGGGAAAACCGGTGGTAGCTTCTCCCTACAACATCTGCTCTTTTGAATGTATTTTTGAAAATTATGTAAAGGACATCAGGGACAATCTGAAGAGTTTTCAGTTGATCTAGCATTATTGACAAACTTTAAATTTGGAAAACAAACACAAGTCCAGTTTTCCCTTTGATCGGACATTTGTGACATGGAGAAAACCAATTTCAAACTAAAACTATAGCTTTATTTCAGGACCAATGTCAGTCCTACTCTCCCCCCGATACTACGCCCATGAGGCTGTTGTTGTAACCGTTGTCTGACATGTAAGATCTAAATAATGTTAAGACAACCTGATTAATGTACCTTCAGAAGCTGTCTAACATTTGAATCCATTTTTGTATGCTGCTGTCACAGTCACTATAGAGGCTTTGGGCTATGGCCCCCAATGCAAGATGGCGGAGCCCAATCAGCTGTCAGATTTGTCTATAATCCTTGTCATTGAACCACTGACGCTGGTTTTTCACAATTTGCAAAAGAATAATATTTAAACCTAATATTGTTTAAAAACAGGAACAACACATGTCAATCCAAATTTTGATCCGTCACATGCAATTGAACCTGTATCGATCAATTCTACGGCTGTAAATAACTTGACATCTGGATTGATAACCTTAACCTTCATAAGTCAACTAAAATCCCCTCTTATGGGGCGCTGGTAGCCTAGTGGTTATGTTGCACGCCCTTTGTACAGAGGCTATAGTCCTCGTTGCAGCCGCCTTGGGCTGGAATCCGACTTCAACCCTTTTATGCATCATGATTTCCCCAACTCTCTCCTCCCGGCATTTCTGGTCTCTCTTCAGCCGTCCTGTCCAAAAAAAAAGCAAAAATAGCCTAAAAAAATAGCTGCTATAAGCTAGGTTGAAGGTGCTCAGATCTACGTCGTTTAAACTGATTTTAAGACTTGTGTCCTCTTGATTGTCCAAGTTAGTCACCCCTTATAAGCACTTTCAAATCAGAGTTTACCTTTGGCCCTTTAAACCTTATTATCTTGTTTGACTTCCAATTTTCCATCCTGCTATACAGAGCCAAGACATTCAAAGATGTGTCACTGTTCTAATACATTCTGACTGCGCTAAATGTCAGGGGACAAATCCTTGACCCAGGGCTCCCATCTGCACTTACTCTGAGTAATGATCAGACTAAGGATGTTCATATCTCAACGCCGCTTTCAAATCTTCTACTACCTCCCTGCAGGCCCCTTTCGCGCTCATGTTCAGTTTTGAGGCAGCTGCTTTTCTGTGAACAGCTACAGATCTGACTTTTGACAATGAGGAGCTGGTCTACAAAGACATAGGGGGAGGGAGGATGTTAATTTTGTTTAGCCAGAGATGAAAGGAAGCATTGTCGAGATGTCTATTGCTGTAGTTGTAGAGAATTTTAAAATGGTTTCTTAAAAGGGGTTTCACATTCTAATGGCCTAATGCTGCCACAGGTACGGCATTTGTAATTTGAGTGGTGGGAGAACCATTATTTGTTAAATTACCAAGGTTGTGAGTGTTTGTGTGTGTGTGACTTTGTGTGTGTGATAGTTCTATACTGTGTAAAAGGGAGATAAATTAATTTGTTAATTCATTTAAGTTGAAAATACAACAAGAACAAAACAAGACTGAGAGAAACTGCCCAACGTTTGCTACTGGCTGTAAAAAAACAAATTTTCTGTATAGTTTAGTATTTATTTGACATTATTGGATGGTGGTTTGCAACCCCATCTCCTAAAACATTGGGACAGGATTGTGTTTACTACTCTGTTGCATCACTTTTTCCTTTTGGAAAGGAGAACACCAATTAATGTAATTCTGAATGTGGAATGTTTTACCATTCTTGCTTTATGTAGGATTTCAACGATTCAACACTTCAGTGTCTCCTTTGGGTAACAACTCAGGACTTCAAGGAAAGCCAGTTTATCTCCTGGACTCCTTTACTACGGAGCCATGCTTTTGTAATACGTCCAGAATGTGGTTTGGAATTCTCAATGTTCAGCATTAATGATGCCTTCAAAAATGTGCAGGTTACCCATGCCATGTTCACTGATGCACCCCCATACTATCAAGGATGCTGCTTTTGAACTGAGCGCTGATAACAAGCCGGAGGGTCCCTCCTCTTTGGCCCAGAGAACAAGGTGCCCAGATTTTCCAAACAGAAAGTTAAATTTTGATTCAGCAGACAACCTCACCCCAGTCCATTTTAATTAATCTGGACCGACTGTTGAGAAGTCGGCTGAGTTCTGGATTGTATTTCTGTACTGTTTCCTCTTTGTATGGTGCAATCATAGCTAGTGTTTGTGAATGTACTGATGAACTGTGTTCAGACAATGGTTTTCAGAAAGGTTACTGAGTCCTTGCAGTGATGTCCACTGTGGCAATGTGTTTGTTTTCAATGCAGGGCCGTCTGAGATCACATGCCACTTGGTATTCTGCCTCGTCCCATGTATAAAGAGATTTCTTACAGTTCTTTGAATCTTTTGAAGTGATAGTATAGATGATATAATCCCCAAATTCTTTGCAACTTTATGTTAACCATTATTCTTCCATTGTTTTACTATTTTCCAGCGTAGTCTTTCATAGAGCAATGAACTCCTCCCTTGCTTTGGTTCAGAAAGACTCAGCCTTTCTGGGATTCTCTTTTTAGGCACCATGTTTTTTCTGACTGGGGTGTCCCAACTGGGGGACTTATTATGCAGTGGTGGCCTTAAGTGTTAGCTCCACACACGCATACACAAGAATCTTATTACCTATAACCTTTCTAATGCCACTAATCTAATCTTCTTTTATGTATCCCAAGAGTGGAAACATATATCTTCTTGGCCTTTAGAACCTTAAAAAATAGCATTTTGTCACAAAAAAGACATCTTTTGTGAACGTCCAGCTTTTGACAAGGCAGATAGCCAATAGTAGTTTAGGATTTTTGAAGTGACACATGGGGTGGCCAATCACATTTCAAGGGTGGCCAGCCTTCTAGACACACCCCTGCATGTTACTAACCTGTTGCAAGTCAAGCATATTAACTGAGATTAATCAGGTGGGTTACTTTTTTTATATAATATTGTCAGCATCAAATTCAAATTGGACATTCTTTTCCAAAACAACAAAGTTTCTCAGCTTCAACATTATATATATATATGATATTATATTTTGTCTTTGTACTATTTTCAAGCAAAT